CCTTGGGAGCCAGAGGAGACACCTATTATGAGTATCTCTTGAAACAGTGGATCCAGACAGGACGGACGAGAGACTTGTACGTAGGAAGGTTGCAGTTTGAATTATGATAAAAAGAAAGCTGCTAATAATCACAAATCTAGTTTTCTCTACTGAAATGCTTTCCACTAATGGCCTAGGTATATCTGGTAATGAATGACCTTAATTACTTATATGTGCTTCTAATGTACTTCTTCATCTACAGCTTAAGAGATGATTACAATGAGAGTGTGGCCGGCATGGAGCACCTGTTAGCGAGAAGGACAGAACCCAGTAACCTTCTCTTCTTTGGCGAGCTTCATGGAAGTAAAAATTTTGTCAATAAAATGGATGAACTGACTTGCTATCTCCCAGGCACTCTAGCCCTTGGAGTTCATTATGGAATGCCAAAACACCATATGAAGATAGCAGAGGATCTGATGTATACTTGTACACTAACTTGGCTTCGTCAACCAACAAACCTGGCCCCAGAAATTACTTACTATAATACGCAGGTGAGTGTCACTCAGATAAAAAATTTCAGATATTTAGGAAATTTTGAAACACTGGTGTAACTTAGTAGATAGTATGTAGAAGCCAGTGATTCTGAGATACTGTTTTCCTCTTACAGCCCACAAGTACGAATGAAGATTTCTTTGTAAAGAGCAATGACGCACACTACCTCCTCCGTCCAGAAACTGTAGAATCACTGTGGTACATGTATCACTTAACAGGAAACAAAACTTTCCAGGACTGGGGATGGCAAATGTTTCAGGTAAGATTCACTATTCTAGATATAAAAAAGATGTTGATTATTAATCTGTAGTTATGATTATGCTGCAACTTTAATTGCTAGAGGGACTTAGAAGTGCATGATTTATATTTTTCATTCTCAGAGCTATCATCATTGTCCAGACTTGCACAGTACGAGTATATCATTAGCAGTCACCTGCACATTATTATATTTTTTTGTTCATTTTACAGGGCATAGAAAATTACTGCAAGGTAGAAAATGGATACACTTCCATTGGCAACGTCAGAAGTACTATAGACACAAAACCAAAAGACAAGATGGAATCTTTCTTCCTAGGGGAGACACTTAAATATCTTTACCTCCTGTTTATGGAGGATCAGAATGCTTTTAGTGTAGACAAGTGGGTCTTCAATTCTGAAGCACATCCACTACCTATTTATACCCACTAGTCTTCTCATCAGTCATCATAGAAAGCATATTATACTTCACTAGATCATATTATTTAATTATTTCAGTAGGGTAAGCAATCCAGGCTTAGTTTTATGAAGTCAGTGGTATTTTGAGAAATAATTTACTATGCAATCAGTTGCGTCACGAAGGTCGGGCTGGGGGGATGTTTGTTCTCAGGTGCTGCCTCTGCAGAGGCCAGAATTGGGTGAGGAGAAAATGTTTTGAAGTTGTGAATTGATAGAGGTGATCATTTATAATAATATAAATTATGTTAACTAAATTAATATCTATCTGAGCATTAAGAGAATATAATTTTTTAAAGAGTATATTTCATCTTTTCTTTTTTCTAAAGTGCTACAGCAGTAGAAGTTTGACCCCAAAATGATAATATTAGCATTTTTTTCCTATAAATTTGGATAATAAGGCAATAAAGCTATTGCCGAGGGTCCTAATTATTGATTCCTTTGCACCACTAAGTTTCCAAGATTGACAAAGTTCAGAAGTGACTCCAGAACCAATCCATGAACGTTCATGATGCTGCACAAGATGTCTAGACTTTGTAGATGTATTTTCTTGATGAACAACTTTTAAAAATCACTTGGGAAGGCAAGAGAAATATGTGCTACTTCGGATGTGAGAGTTATCAGAAGATGGAGAATAAAGCACCATATATCAGATGAAATTGACACTAGAAGACTTTCTGTGCCTCATTGTTCAATGTAGTGATGAAAGTGTCTTCAGAATTTGAGTTAGATATTCCTTCATGTTTATCTAAAAAATTACCTGCTATGGCAGTATCTACTACCAGCTGTGAGTCATCCTTCATCAAGCTGAAACTCATGCTATGCTATCTTTGGGCATCATTGGGCCAAGAATGGTTATCAGCTTTAGTTATATTAAATGTGAAAGCTGTAACCAAACCCCTTAAACAGAGCTATCGTATCCATCAGTTGTAAGTCAGAAAAGTTTCGTAACTGTTGCATAACACTTTCCCTCTATTTTAGGTCTCGCCCTTCCTTTCTCACATCTTTCCTAGCCTTCTTGTTTTACATCTGTGTGTTCATTAACAATAAAACCTTAAATTATACTCATTATACTCTCCTGTACCTGCTCTCATTATGTACAGTGAAATGACTACAGTTTTTTTCTGTTTAATTACTTATTTTGCCTTACCTTTTCATAGCTTTCTTTCACAATAAAATATTCATGTTTAGGCACTTCATTATATATATTGAACCCTCTTATTGTGCCTTGTCTGTCTTTTCTATTTATTTTTTCTTTCTGTATAGCCTGTACTTCATATTAACCTATCTGTCAATTTTTTACCAGTACACAAAATGAAGCATCATGCATCATTATAGTCTCCTAAATTAGCAATCACACTAGTCTTGTCTGTCCAGGGATCCCTTTACAGAGTGGGATACTTCCCCAGCTGTGAGGAGAACCGAGATGAAAATCCCTGCCTGATAGAGAACCACTGTGTTGGTCTTTCACCCCAGCTACAGAGGGAAAGATGATGCCAAAACAAAATAGTGTAATTACTATGAGGCTTATGACTTGTCATTTAAAAAGTTGTTATATTATGTAATATTAGGTATAGTGACACTTAGTAATAAGTACAACTAACAATGGTGCCTCATTAGAATTTCAGAGACTATCCAGGTAACTTCTCATTTGATCAATGATTATAAACAACCACCCTCTCGGATATGCTGAAGACATGGAGGTCATTTCATTAATTATATACACCCTGGTGGACAAAGTGAGAGTCAGATAGCAAATGTGGAATGCCATACACAAATGTTAGCAAAGTTGAAAATAACAAAAATGGATGAAATCAGCAAGTCTTTCCTTGTCACAAGGTATAATAGTACAGCTGGCAAGACTGTCTCACGATCAACAGTTAATTATATCTTATTCAATTTCAGTCATAGTATTTGCTTCCTCCCAATATTAGTTTTTTTCAATGATTAATTATGTCTCTCATACATCATTGATAACACTAATAGCAGAATATGCTGTTTAAGGTTTGTTTTCTGATTTTCTGTTTCTGTTGAAGTATGGGTCATTGGGGTAACTGGCACGGTTATATGAAGTATGATAATTAATAAACTGGATGGAATTATTTTTCTAAGTGTCGTCTTTCTTGAAATTTTCAATTGATATGCAGTGATACCCTTAGAAGCCATGACTATCTGAGACGATGTTTCTCTACAGGGATTCCTAGGCGGACAAGACTATTGTGACTATTGCTTAACTGAAAGATTCTTTTAATTTAATGGGCCCCAAATTGAAAGCAGTGAACCTCAATTAAATTCATATAGCAAAATAGAATTTACACGGGAGGGAATGGGAAGTGCCGTTATTGACTGTGTTCCAAGGCGCCAGCAACCATCGTGATGCCATTGAAAGCAGTAGAACTTATCAAAGATTAGGATTTGCAGCTGCAGTTTTTTTATGATAATTTAACAATATACATGCCTGGGGTGTGTAAGGAATTGATGGATGATTACCTTAGATCATTAGTAAGGCTGTGCTAGAGCATCACTACCTCTCTTTTAATTTTTCATAGTTCCTCAACATTCCTTAAGCATTGGGGACAGCAAGGAGATTCTCCAAACAATGGCTTCATGGTTTAATATACAGCCGAAGGTGGTGTGCATGGTGTAACACGAGTACTTGTTAAATAGTGCTACAAAAGAGTGATTTGACCTTTATGTACAAAATGCTGTATCATTTTATCTATAAAATAATACAAAAAAGAGATATAATAGAAATATTGTTTTGTAGTTTTCTTTAAGTGTGCAGTATTTATTACTGTAAGATAATACAAGTAGATGAGACCAGAGTTGCGTAAGATATGAGAAAATGTAAAACATTAGTATGTATAGTGAAAGGAATTTCAAGGAATTGTAGGAATAATTGAAACACTAAATGTAGTCAAAAAAGTGTTGATAGAAAATGAGTGGTACTTAATGAATGTATTTGTTTGGTACTGAGTAGAGTTAAAATGTTATAACATACCAATTTTTACATCAGAAAGAGCTTATTTTGTATTGTTTTTTTTTAATTTACTTTTCATGATTTTAGTACTTGCAGTGTAAGCTATGTTATGAACCACTGACAGTACAGAGTTTTAAGCAATTGAATTTTATTAATTCTTCAACTGTAGTCTCTTTGAATTTGCTTTTCTCAAAGGGTTTACAAATGTTGCAGAATTGAGAAATGGCATTCATTTCATCAAATTGTCATTGTAATGGTTGTTAACAACTTACGTTTTCAGATTACTGTGATCATTTGAAAGGACACTACACCTTATACAATCTTAATGGATATGTTAAAGAATTATGTAAAAGTGAAGTATAAAAGGCTCTGTATACATTTATCACACATGAAAGTTTGTCATGTACTTCAAAGTTTTCATTCTTCAGGAAACTGACAGTGTATGGTATATTTTATAAACCAAGCCAATAGTGAAATTTGTTATATATTTTGAGGTCTAAATAATTCCTTTTAAGATAAAATAGATTGTTCTATGACTAAAAATGACATTAAACTATATTGGCTTGTGTATAATCTTTTCTGGCAATTTTCATTGGAATTCTATTTTTAAACTTGGCTTCTTTTTAAACCTAGAGCCTGGTACATTGTAAGGTATCTAACATAAGGTGTATTATCATCTGAAATTAAATTTAACTGAATCTGCATGGGGTGAAATATTGTTTGAACAAAGACGAGTTAACTGCTTGAAAAATCTTAAAAAAAAAAGAAAGAATTATTTGAACTTAATTTGACGCTGACCCATTCAAGCAGTTAAGTCTTTTCGAATGAGGTTTTAATCATAGAAAATTATGTGGTCATAGTCAGTTTGACAGTTAAGAAATGTTTTTGTTGTACTTGACTAGAATATTAGTTACATTATTTGTACCATTCTTGATAAGTTCATCATTTTATATTTTTGGATACTGGTGTTGGTTTTCTTTGTGATGTATGCCTTACAATATATGGTACAACTAATATTTTTAGCCTTGCAACTTTTAAAGATATTTTCATGGGAAAACAAAACAAAAAACAAAAAATATTTCGCCTAGATCTTATTTTATTGTCAGGCATGTTGACAGTTCTAGTTATTACTTTTGTTATTATTGTTGTTATTACCATTAGCATTATTGTTTTTATTTGTTGTTATTGTTCTTCTTATTATTATTACTATTATTATTATTATTATTATTATTTTTTATTATCATTATTATTATTATTATTATTATTATTATTATTATTATTATTATTATTATTATTATTATTATTATTATTATTATTATTATTATTATTATTATTATTATTATTATTATTATTATTATTATTATTATTATTATTATTATTATTATTATTATTATTATTATTATTATTATTATTATTATTATTATTATTATTATTATTATTATTATTATTATTATTATTATTATTATTATTATTATTATTATTATTATTATTATTATTATTATTATTATTATTATTATTATTATTATTATTATTATTATTATTATTATTATTATTATTATTATTATTATTATTATTATTATTATTATTATTATTATTATTATTATTATTATTATTATTATTATTATTATTATTATTATTATTATTATTATTATTATTATTATTATTATTATTATTATTATTATTATTATTATTATTATTATTATTATTATTATTATTATTATTATTATTATTATTATTATTATTATTATTATTATTATTATTATTATTATTATTATTATTATTATTATTATTATTATTATTATTATTATTATTATTATTATTATTATTATTATTATTATTATTATTATTATTATTATTATTATTATTATTATTATTATTATTATTATTATTATTATTATTATTATTATTATTATTATTATTATTATTATTATTATTATTATTATTATTATTATTATTATTATTATTATTATTATTATTATTATTATTATTATTATTATTATTATTATTATTATTATTATTATTATTATTATTATTATTATTATTATTATTATTATTATTATTATTATTATTATTATTATTATTATTATTATTATTATTATTATTATTATTATTATTATTATTATTATTATTATTATTATTATTATTATTATTATTATTATTATTATTATTATTATTATTATTATTATTATTATTATTATTATTATTATTATTATTATTATTATTATTATTATTATTATTATTATTATTATTATTATTATTATTATTATTATTATTATTATTATTATTATTATTATTATTATTATTATTATTATTATTATTATTA